TTAGCACCGACTAAAGTCCTTCAAGCACATTCAGAATTTCACATATACACTAGATATGGAGAAAGAAACTGACAAGTTCCTCTGACAAGATCTGGAGATCATATTAGCCTGGGCATAGTACCATGCTAATATTGCTGTAGTGATTCCAGTTCCAAAACACAGGATAGTAGAATTGGGGTTTTGTTTTGTTTTTTTCAATTAATTTAACAATTTTTTAAGGGAGAGTGACAAACAAACAAACTAGAGAAATGTTAAGGATCTAGAGTCAAGCACTAAAAAGTTCAGATATTTCTATGAGGTTTTTGTATTTCAGTATTATCTTCATTTTCTTGTGCCTAGGTAGAACTTTTATTTTCTTTATTAAATGTAAAATATTTTGTTTTACCATTTATGTTCACACCACCTACTGTGAGATATACAGGATGGAAGCTTTATGTTGTCTCAGTGCTAGATTTTTATGTTCTGTTCCTACAATTGAACACAGAGGTCCAGATAAACAATGCAGGCTTGACCCTGTGCTTGCTGAGGTCAGTGGCAAAGCTGCCAGTGTCATTAATGACACTGAATTCATGCTTGAAAGGAGTACCAGAGGTAACAGTGCTTCATTCAGATTGAATTAATAATACTATTTGTAGGATATTCCTAGCTATATAAAGTATTTGAAGTTTCTTCTTCAGCAATCCCTCACAGTCGAGGATGACTGAATTCCATAACTGTCGTATCTGTGGGTCCAAAGATGGCCAACAAAGCCAATCGGGGATCGACAGACTGTTGGAACTCAGGCGTGTGTTTTTGTGCAAGATGGATGGCTCCAGGGTCCTGATCCAGTCTACAACATACTATTTTTGCTGCTCCCACTTTTTCATCTCCTCTTGTGGTTGTAAAATTTCAAAGTACTCAGATCCTTGCAGCAGATTCTTCCTCCATTTGGAGCAGTCCTGGGCAATAGTCCCCCACAAGTTGATACTGATGTTGCATTTTTTTCCAAGTTGGCCTTGAAGATGTCCTTGAAGTGCTTTCTCTGCCCTCCTCTTGAGCATACACCTTGACTGAGCTGGGAGAATAAAACTTACTTTGGGAATCTGGAATAGACCGGATGACATGGCCAACCCAGTGAAGTTGATGTAAGATGATCATCGCCTCAGTGCTCATCGTGTTTGCTTGCAAGAGGACACTAATGTTGGTGCATCTACCTTCCTACTGGATTCAAAGGACCTTCTGCAGGCAGCACTGATGGTACTTCTCCGATGATTTAAGGCATCTCCTGTACATTGTCCACATCTCAGCTCTGTACAGTAAGGTGGAAATCATAACTGCATGATGAACCATGAGTTTGGTTTCAGACCTGATGTCGCAATCTTTGAACACTCATTTCCTCAGGTGTCCAGAGGCTGCAATTGCACATTTGAGGTGATATTGGATTTCTTCACTGATGTCAGCGTACAGTGAGAGATGGATTCTGAGGTACAGGAAATACTCAGTGATCCCCAGAGCCTCACTGAAATACATCACCATTCTTTGCTGCCCCATAACAATATGCAAGCGGTGGTTCTCAGTAACGGATCAATCGCAGATCCCGTTAAGGTTAAGACGGGAGTTAAGCAAGCCTGTGTGATCACTCCAGCACTCTTCTCGATAATCCTTACCACAATATATTTGACTATCAACAAGCTTCCAGTTGGAGTGGAGCTAAACTACCAAATGGATGGCAAAATGTTTAATCTCAGCCAACTACAAGCCAAAACCAAGACCACCCCAACCTCAATCACTGAGCTCCAGTACGCTGCTGATGCTGTAGTCTGTGCTCGCTCAGAAGCAGGCCTTTAGGCAATTGTCAGCATCTTTACTGAGGCATACAAAAAATGGGACTGACGCTTAACATTCAGAAGACTAAGGTCTTCCATCAACAAGCTCTTAATGAGCAGTCCCTAGCTCCAGTAATTCAGATTCACAGTGAGACTCTGGAGAACTTAAAGTTTAAATGCATGTAAAACCGAGCGCCAACTTGCTTAACAAGCTGTTTTGTAATTCAGATTGCTGCTTTTGATTTTTTTTTTCCTGAGGTAGGGTATCATGGGGAAAAGGGGCAGGCGTTAATGAAAACAAAGCCACATTCAAACTGGCTTGAATATGTATTAGATTTTTTTTTCATGCAACTGATATCCAGCCCACTTTTGACTGCATTCCTACTGGCATGCCTGGAAACTGTTAAAAACAGATGTCTATACTGTGAGTTTGGAACATCTGGGGGTTAACTAGATCTTATGGAGTTATAAACATGTCACCGTGTATGCTGTGTATAAGTTCCATACAGGTGTATTATTTGAAATCACACCATTTGTTTTTCTATCTCCTTCACACTTGCACACCTATTGATGACATAGCTGCATGTATTTAAGTTTGTTATGTTTGCTGTTCAATAGACCAAATCTGTTTTAACTAATTCAGAAACTTTAAACTCACTTGGAGCTGAAATGATTTTCCAAAAAAGATTACACAGACCACACATTAACACTGAAACCTGATAGTTATCTTGTGTACATTATCTGCAGGGAATACAAAAGAGGAGAGAACTATATTTAATATAAACTTTGTTTTCTTTTTTTAAACATAGACTTTTTCCTCAATTATTTGACATAATTCTTAGCCGTAATTATATTTAAGCAACACTTCCCCCTTTTAATTATATGGTTTGTGGCCTCCTCTGATCCTTATACATGGAATCAAGTCAATGTTGAGTCCTTGGACATAGCAATAATTTCAGAAAAAGTGTGTACAATATCATAAACTACTAACTGCAGCTTCTCCGTGCACCTCATCAACTCGTATAAATCAGTTGATGTGCACCCTATATATAAAAATTAGTGTGACATGACATCCCCACTATAAATTTGCTCCTGACAGCTGCCACCATAGCAGTTTCCAGAAGCACTGAGATCCACATTATACTTCTGGGAGTGCATGGAGTTGCACCTCTTGCTAATCCCTACCCCACGGTACAACACGCGCTCCTCTCCATCAGGCAGGTTGGCTGGGAGAAGGGGCTATGATTTCACTTTTGCTCCCCACCTCTGATAGGTGCTACTGAATTCCTCCCCTGTCTTATATGCTGCAAGCACTGAAAATGTGCCTCAATTCTATGCAGATATGCAAATGTAGGATTTAGAATCAAAACTCCATAGTTTCATTCTCAAGAATTTTTGGGCAGGAGCATTAGCTCTTTGTAAGCTTCATTCTGCTGGCAATTTGCCTTTAGTATACCAATGGATTTATGTCACAGTATTTATGTATTGACAGGTTTTCCTTTGGCGCTTATCACCATACCTTGAGTGTCATTACATATATCAATGAATACATCCCCATGGCAACCATACACAGTAAGGAATCCTTACTATCCCCAATTTAAAAATGGGGAACTGAGGCACATTGAGATGCACACACATACTAATAAAGGATCCAGTGCAGATACCCTTGCTCACAGTTGATAGCACCTTACTCTAACTTCTGTAGGGCTGTTTGTGGCATAAGGGACTATGCAATATTAATAAATGTTCCAGTCTAACCTATTTTGAACATCGTCATCAATCTGGTCCTACATGACTTGTTCAAAGTGACACGAGAGGCCCATGGCAGAGGCAACAATAGCACCCAGGTCTTCAGTACCATGCATGGGCTTTAACTGGGATCCTTCTTCAGACCTTTTTAATCCACCATAAGATAGGGATGTCTGTGTTACCCTTGCTATTCTTCAGTGATAATACTCAGGTTCTTTCAGGTTCCAACCCACCAAGAATATTATCTCATCTAATTAATCCCCACAACACCTCTGGGAGCAGGTAGGCAAGTATCATTGACATTTTAACACATGGAGAAGTTAAGAAGGAAAACTGAGAATAACTTCATATCCTTTACAGAGAAATCATTTTCACTGGCATCACTGAGCTTTTTTTCACAAGAAGAATGGAACTGGAGCCTTCCAAGAATGAGAAGATTCACTTGAAACTACACTTGGGCTTTCTAAATGCCTGAAGTAAGATCCTCACTTCAATTCAACCCATCCACACCTGGTACAAAGGCCAGAGCAGCCATAACTGGGCCTAAACACCCTTGATTCTGGTGGGGGAAGGATGCCCCCTGTTCAGCCACTGCAAAGAAAGCTGTAGGGCTGCTGTTCGAGGATTTCTTTCACAAGCTCTTGTACCTGATGCTTATTTGAAACAGGATTGGGTGGGGATGGAAAAGCTAGGCTGAAGTTATGTTTGTAGCCCACAAAGATTATGGCCACCACCACAGCTCAAGAGGACCACATGGAGGCTGCTGTCATTTTAGCCAGGTCCCCAGGGCTGAAAGGAGACCAGGACTGGGTGACTGCATAGAAAACTTAAAATCACTGCAGGCTTATTTTCCTCAACCGGCCTACATGTTTTGGCTAAGCATAGCACAAATTGTCACCAAATGCTTGCAAATTTGGTGAAAGCTTCAGGGAGGATTTGGCTTGCAACAAAATCAGTGTTGTGTTGACTGGTTTGCATAAAGTATCTCTCCCCATCAGAAATACCTATGGTTCTGTGAATAGTTAAGACTGTGTACGCTGGAAACCCAGCATGGACTGGGAACAAAGGATGAGAAGTGCATTAAGGTTTGAAAATCCTCTTAAACCTTGACAATTTCCTCCTGGGGCAGACAACTAAGACAAGGCCAAAGCATTTCCTAAGAGACCTTCAAGGTTTTAATATACAAGCCCAAACCCAATTCCAAATCTCACTTAAATTAGTGTAAATCAGTCAAGACAATGGTGCTTGAGAAATGAGGTCAGAATCAAGTTTTTTTCTTCCAAACTGTTTAAAGCTTTATTACACAGACAAGTCAGATTTCAGCATCTTAATTTTTAGATGCATGTCATAAGCAAGAGTTTTCACTGAATTGCCTACCATTCCATGGACATTGGCAGAAAATGAATGGAAGTTATCAAATCTCTGCTGTTTTCTTTCTACTGGCGGTGGTAGGAGTGTCTGCTGCCCTAACTTGACTTGAATGAGATCTATAGTTGTTGGAAGAGAGACTCCTAAGGATATGCAGCTTCTTGCAGCCAATTTGATATGTGCTGATGGTTTTCACTCTGCACCTGCATCTCCTGACCGGATATTGGAGTAATATTGATCAGGTGCAGAGTGAAATCTTCTGTTTGTTGGTTCCCGTTTGGTTTCTGGGATTCTCAAGGGACTGTTATATTGAGTGCTTCTCTGTGTTCAAGAGGGAATTCTCCAGCATCAGGTACAGCAGCACTTGATGTAGACTGTCCAGAAAAAGCAAAAACAAGGATTCATTAAATGGGTTTTATATTTTCTCTAAAAAGCAAAACTCCTTAGCCTGTGATGACAGTTGCCATACTTATCCCTAGTGTAATTCCATTGAAACTAAAAGTGTTAGCACCAGCTAATTTATCTGATTGTCTTTACTTACTTTTTGACCTTTTCTTTGAGGCCAGTACACACACATGTATCTTTGGAACTTTAACAAAATTAACTAATGGATTTAGGGGAAGATTTTCAATTAAATAAGACTTCCAATTGAATATAAGAACCTTTGTGTTTATGCAGCATTGCCAACTATTGGGACTTCATTCAGAATCTCTTGTCATTTATTGTTTGACTTAATACCAAAAATAAATGAATAAATAAAAATAAAAATCTATCAACCTTCCCGACAGGAAGGAAAAGCTTCAACTAAAGGCTGAAACTAAAAGAACTCTACATGCATTTTCAAAAATCATGATTTTAAGGTTAATCTTGTGATTTTTGGAGCCTTGACTTTTTTGGAGCCTTGAGCAGCCAGAATTGGCTATACTGCCTTTGTAGATCTTTCACTAGCTCGCTTTAAAATTAGAGGAGATGATTAGTCTACTAAGGCAGGCCATGTAGCTTCTGCTGTATAGGACCCAGTGACCCTTCCATGGGTCTTGGGAGCTCACCATGTCCCCTCACATGGACAATGAAAGAGAAACACAGGAAGATAAGACAGGTCTCTCTGCCCACACCTCTGGAGGTATTAAGAGCCATTCTCCGCTGCAATCCCTAATCTGCCAAAATCTCTCTCACTGATAATATAGTCCTTGCCTGAGTAAGGACTGCAGGATTGGACTCAGTAAGGTAATATATTTAGAAGAATAATTTAGTTATTATTCCAGCGCAGCAATATTGCCTTCTACATACCTATCTCTTCTATATTTGTCTATGATTGCACATAGGCATGATAATGAGAGCCAATAACAGAAAAGGATTGTTGAGTTATATGCCTCATACCTACTTGTGCAGGTGACACAGTTTATAATTTTCCTGATAGCAAGGATTCCTGCCAAAGCAGCTTATTATGATTATATATGTGGGGGAAAACTTTCTAAAGCAGTGATTCTCAACCAGGGTGCCAAAATTAGGTAGTACTACTAGGTTTGAAAACATGATTTACAAGATAAACCCAGAGATTTCAAATATAAATCCATAGTTGTGGTCTGTCTGTGCTCTTTAGACCAGAAGAACTGCTCTATTATTATTTTTCTGTAGTCAAAGCAGAGTGAACACTAAGAGGTGGCAATTTCTGAGGTGGTTCACAAGTCTATCCAAGGACACCACGAGTTGCAAAAGTTAAAGAACCACTGTTCTAAAAGTTTGTATGGCTAATCACAGTTCTTTCTAGAGACAGTAAAAAGATAGTCAAATAGTGTCACACAGAGAGGTCTTAAAATGGGAGAAAACATTTACTTTCCTACAATGGCTCTGGCTCAGCACTGAAGATCGATGCTAGTGTGCACATAGCTCAAAGCTACTTGCATGTTATTCACTCCTCAGAGAGATAGAATTCCTTCAATTGGAATTTTATCTATTTAAGTCCTGTTAGTATAATCAGTCTATTAAAACTGGAGGTGTTAATTTTCCAGTAATCACAGCACTTTCTCTTTCTTTCTCCCAAATTAAAGGACAGCCTTGTGCTGTATGGATAAAATGTAGTAATGCTTTTAATGCCAGGCCATGATTTTAGACCTCCAGCTGTTTTACTGGTTGTGTAAGTAAAAATAAGATAATGTTATGCTTGGTAACCATGGTTTTTGTAGGCATTCACATTTTACAAATCACTGCACAGTATGCAAACCATTATATATTTTTAAATGCTTAAATTCAAGCATAGAGTCTACCACTTCCATTATTTAAGGAGGGGGACTGCTAGACTGTGAAGAGTGATATATTCTATCAAGCTACTGTATGGAGTTATATCATCAGTGCAAATCATGTGAAAACGTGCTTTGGCTAGACAAGAAAGGAGTATTCTCTGCCATAAAAACTATACTACAGGAAGCTAGACAGAATCATTGACTTGGCGTAATATATATTGAGTAAAATTGTATTTGTTCAAATGATAGAATCGAAAATAAGTGCAGAAAGAAAGCAACCATGACATACTTGTTTATTTTCTTCTCTCCACAAAAAAAACTTGCCTCGACTTGAAACAAAGGGATTGATTCTTACCACCAGTTTTCTCTCACCAATTTTATGCTCCTTGACTTCTACAGAGTTACTCTTGGTTTATACCAGCCTGAGTAAGATGAAAATCAAGTTCACAGCAAAGGATTTTATTGGCTTATATTACACACCAACACGTAAAGGTATGCAAGCATTATACCCTAGCAGTGTAATCATAGGTAAAAGGTATTTAATTAAATCTAAATAAATCTTAACCGGAATATCTGTCTGTATGAAAACTCTGGTAAGTGGAACTATTGTAAGCCACATCTGCTCTCAGAAACAACAATCATTCAGAATAAAATATTTTTAGAAGCAGATTACATTGCACTGATTAGGAGAACAAGCAAGGATAATGGATAGTATTCAGCTGCACCTGAAATTGCTTTTAGAGTTTGGTATCTTATATGTAGAGGAGGAAAAAATGTCTTCTACTTACTCTTTAAGTTTTCAGAGACCACTCATAGTGCTCTGAATATGTAGTGCTCTCAATTTTAGTTAAAAAAGGCTAATATTGTAAAGTCAGACCTGATTAATCAGGGTGGAGCTGTTCTATACATATGTCTGGAAATAAAAATTATTTGGATATTTTTTAAGGTTGTTAGTTGTAGCCATGTTGGTCTCAGGACATAGGCAGACAGGACACATCCAGACAAGCATGCACATGCCTTTTGCAATGTCTCAAACCCCTTTGAGACACTGCAAGAGGCAGTGGTGCAAGCTGCAGGGACCTGGACCCAGCTTCATGCCAGGTAAGTAGAGGGTTAGGGAGCTAGAGTGGGGGGGGACCATGGGGGGGGCCCTGCCCAACCCTAGCCCCTGTTTGTTCGCCATCCCCCACCCACTCACTGTCCCACTCAGCCCCAGCCCCCTGCACCAGCAACCTGGAGCCAACCGGGAGAATCCCTGAATTGTCTCCAGCCTCCTGATCGCTCCCCCACTCATCTCCAGCCTCCTGCTCGATTCCATCCTCTGAAGGACAGGAGACAGAGCAGAAAAATGAGCAGCCCCAACACCCACAGTCCCCACCACACCTATCCACACACTGATCTGCATCCTTCCACATCCCTCCAAACTCACCCAGGAAGTATGGTTGGGATGAATGGACTGCAAGGTGAATAGTAAACTGGCTAGGCTGTCAGACTCAAAGGATAGTAATCAATGGCTCAATGTCTAGTTGGCACCTGGTATAAAGTGAAGTGCCCCAGGAATCAGCCCTGGGGCTGGTTTTGTTCAATATATTCATCAATTATCTGGAAGACGGGATGGATTGCACCCTCAGCAAGTTTGCAAATGACACCAAGATGGCGGGGGGAGCAATAGATACGCAGGAAGGTAGGGCTAGGATTCAGAGAGACCTTGACAAATTGGAGAACTGGATCAAAATAAATCTCATGGGGTTCAATAAGGACAAGTGCAAAGTCCTGCACTTCAGACACAACAGTCCCATACACCAGTACAGGCTTGGGACCAACTAGCAAAGCAGCAGCCCTACAGAAAAGTACATGGCAGACAATAAACTGAATATGAGCCAAAAGCGTACTCTTGTTGTGAAGAAGGCTAACAGCATACTGGGCTGCATTAGTAGAAGCACTGCCAGCAGACTGAAATAAGTGATTATTCTCTTCTATTCGGCATTGGTGAGGTCACATGTGGAGTATGGAGGTGTGGATCCCTTTGAATTATACTTGTGAGTATTCACATACTTTTGAATGATCATAGTCATCTTTCATGGTCCCCTTAGACAGTCTGTGGACCCCAGGTTGAAAACCAACGATCTAGACTATTGTCGGTGGCAGATGACAGAACAAGGAACAATGATCTCAAGTTGCAAGAAAGGAAGTTTAAGTTAGTTATTAGGAAAAAACTCTCTCGTGAGAAGGGTAGTACAGAACTGGCACAGGCTACACACAGAGACTGTGGAATCCTCATCCTGAATGTTTTTTTAAGACCAACTAGACAAAGCTTTGGTTGGTATGATATAGTTGGAGATGGTCCTGTTTTGAGCAGATGGTTGGACTAAATGACCTCATGAGCTCCTTTTCAACCCTAATTTTCTATGATTCTATTAATTATATTATGTATTATTATATTTGCTTTATATATTTATATTTTATATATATATATTTACTGTGTCTGACAACCTCTAAATCATGATATCAGCTGAAAAGGCATAACTTTTTTAATATTTATTTTATGTTCTTTTTCATTGTGCCCTGGGTGCTGAGCTTTTAGGATGTATTCAGATGAGGTTGGCAAACTTTTTTTCCCACAACTGCAACTTCTAGTAAAGAAAAGCTGAGATGCTCCCAGATTCACTTTTCAATCAGGTGCTAGGGCTCAATTTAAAATATCAAATATAGCAAGCCTAGCATGAAAAATATTAGGAATAGCAACAATGGGAAGTTCTTGTGGCCTACCCAGAAGGTCACCACATTTATGCAATTTCAAACCAAGTATTTAGAGTATTCTATATCATTTGCAGGAGTATGGACTTAAACACACTATTTACATGTTTCAAATATTTTCAGCACAAAATCAAATGTGTTTTTAAAAATAAAAAAGAGGGGAAGTGACAGGGAAGCAAGAGAAATATGTACCTAAATTGGAAGACCCATATGTACAGGAACAGTTCTATAGAACAGTACCTGATATATATAGGTTCTTGTGTTCACTCTCTGCCTTCAATAAAATATTTTAGAAGTAGGTGGGTGTAGCTAAGTGGAAACAACTACCAAAGGCAAAAGGTACCACTTGCTGGGTTAGACAAACACTGGTGGCT